GATCCGCTCCTCACGTGTTAACCTCTTCGACATGTCAATGGCTGTGATCAACTAACAAGCCTGAAGTGACTGCACGCAACCTCCAACCTAAACACCTAAAGTTGATTTGCAGATTTTTATTTGATGGCTCTTTCTGTTTCTTTCTGTGTTTTTCTCCCTCACTAGTACGACTGCATGACAGCATCGCAGAGGAAGGCTTCCATTACCTTGTCTTTGACCTGTGAGTGAATCACAGTACCACACAAACACACACATTACCAGCTCAGGCCTTTCTTTCTCTGTTGAGCAATTTTTGTTTATTGTCTAGAGGTAATGACTCCAACTTCACAAAAATAACTCACTTTTTCTCATGTGTTAGTCCACAAATAGCAGTTAATTGGGGTAAAAATGGAAAAAAAGACAAACTGATCTTTAAAAAGCATGTTTTGGTGACATCGTCTGCAGTATGCTTGTTTTCCATCTGTGCTGGGGATCTTCACTCAGAAATAAACACAAAATACAAAGTTTCTATTTTTCATGTATGTTTCCGCAGAGTCACTGGAGGCGAGCTGTTTGAGGACATTGTCGCCAGAGAGTACTACAGTGAAGCAGATGCCAGGTACACTAAGTTAGCACAAAATTGATTTTTGTGCCTTTTTGTTTTTGGTTGCTGTGGACTGTCATAAAATGTTTTGCGATTTGAATCTGTGTTAATGTACTTTGTGCTGTAGCAGCAGAACCAGGGCTTTCTGGCACAACCTGTATACACTTTATTTTGGACCAAGTGACTCGGTGCTTTTAAATTTCATTAATAAACAATGACAAAGCTGTCCTCTGAGTTTAAAACTTATTTTTAGTTTGTTGTCCGAAGTTGGGGTTTGTTTTTCTTCTGAAGTGCATTACCTACACGCCTAAGCGCTTAACCATGACGTAAAAGCTTTTAATCAGTTAGATAATGATTTAAATAGCAGAATTAAAAAAATATGTCAAAACTTGCAATAGAGAATGCGAAAGGCAATCAATAGAGTTAAGGTAAGTACAAGAGGAAAATAGTACAATAGGCATTATGCTAGATTAGGCTGAAGATAAAATAGGCTCAGTAACACATGTAAAATAATAAATGTCATATATGTGTATGAGGAAGCTGGGTAGGGACAGAATAAATGGCGGGATAAATTTTAAGTCCTGTTGTGCTCTAATTTGGACACTCTTGATTCTGTCTTGCAGAGAGACGACAATACTCCCTAAATCTGTCTCTGCGCCCCCTCCCGCTGCTGTCCCTTACTTCACCTTTACTAAATGCCAAGCTCAATTTATTTTAAGAGAAATAATAGCAACTTTAACTGAGCCGAAAGAATTGTAGATATGCATGCTGAGGACAAGCTTACATAAGACTCCCCCCTCACACCCTGCCCACATTTCTTTCGTCACGTTCATTTACTTAAAAAATGCACCACATACTTCTTCTTGCACCACTTATCCTCTGCTCCAAGTACACAGAAATGTTGCTCAAAGATTGCAGGTACATTTATAAATCTTACATGGCTCATGGGGGGTTCATAAATAAATCAGGTGTTTAGATTAGTGTAATGTGGGGCTTTAGTCAGCCAAATTGTTGGTTGACTGAACTGTTACCTTCTAATCAGTTGATCTGTTGCTGGGGTAGGTTTGATTATGCACTTAATCTCTAGTTTGACTATGTGTCACAATGTGTTGAGTGCACTCTACCTTCTAGCCTTTTTAGCCTGATCTAATTATAAAGAGATATAAAAAGCTAGAATATTAAATCATTTAAACAGTGTTATTTTAAGCAAATATAACCACAGACTCTGAGCCATTTTTTCCATTTAGATTGGAGAGTTTAGATCCTTGGATGAACTATTGACATCATGGCTGGATACAGTTTACTTTTTAAAATAGTAACAAGACCAAACAACAGTTTCAACGTGTTCACACATACAGAAAGCCTAAAACCTTACCTTGCTGCTAGTTAAGTGCTTTATAGTTTTGCGTTCATCATCGTCTCACAGAAAAACCTCAGTAAATGCAAACATTTTAAGCTGTTAGTCGCTCTTAGGATTGGGCATCTACAGTCATGTGAACAGGCAGGTGGAGTCTTTTCCTCAGCTATCGAAAATAATGAATCAGGCCAAAAACTGTCAATGCTGCACTTTTCTCTTTGAGAGTATACCCCTGTATATCCAAATAATAATAATTTTTTTATTGACTTGGGTTTTTGCGCCTTTGCTAGATAGCACAGTAAAGAGAGACCGGAAGGCAGGGAGAAAGAGGAAGACATGCAGCAAAAAGCCACTGGTCAGAATCAAACTACTGCATTCAGCCTTGCGGCATATGACTGAGACTACAGCCTCAGTGTCAAAATGAGCAACAGGAAATGATTTTGTGTTGCCCATCAACCACTAGAATGTTGCAAATTTGGTGATAAAGACCCTGGTTGCAAGGATTTAGTTGATCAGCCAAAAAAAAGTTAGACAAAATTCTCCTGTAAGGGTGAGGTAAATGTGATTTACGGGCACATTTTCTGAAAGGGTCTCCTTCAAGACATTGATAGTGCTTCTCTTGCTGAAGTAGCCACACAGCAACCATAACTAGAGAGCAGCTCTTTTCTCACCTCTACACTGCTGGTGTGAAGGGGATGTGAATGCCAGTTTAGCATCTGAAACACTCACTCACACACACGCACACACACCCCTACACCCTTCCTGTGTTGCATTGTGGGTGTCTGTTGCCACGGACCCACAGCCACTAATGATCTGACATTTGTAGCCACTTTGTGATTGGCCAGCTGAGCAGAACTAAGGAAGCAGTGGGAGAGCAGAGCATTGTATTCCTCTTTGTAGCCCTCCGTTCTCTGTAACAGGTTGCAGTGTCTCTTTAGAAAGAGTGTCTGGAAATGGGTCCCTGTATTTTCTGTACCCTGCTTTCTTTTTCACCGTGTCATCCATGGGCCACTTGAGATGACTGAGGCCATAACCTGGCTCTTAATGCAGGGTTACGTCAAGGCTCTGGGTGTTTTTGGTTGCATATAATAATGGCAAAGCTTAAAGCGCTTCGTAATTTTGTTATGTGCCCAGTGGAAGAGCTGTCTACCAATTTACTTTAATACTGTGACACTATACAGTGTGAACAACAGAAACCTGTTCAACCATATCCTCTTTTTTTTTAATCTTTTTTGTTGCATTTCTGTCTTTACTCGTATGCTCGTCGTATACTTTAACTGTCACGTAATATGAATTCCACTAAACTAAACTAGTTTCTTCTTCTTCTTTTTTAAAACTTCTGCTTCAGTCTGCATTTGTGATCTCCTGTGGATTGACGAATGTGTCTGTCTTGTGCTCCTCATCCTTCTCTGTCTCTTCCAGCCACTGCATTAATCAGATCCTGGAGAGCGTCAGCCACATCCACCAGCACGATATTGTCCACAGGGACCTCAAGGTGAGTGATCACACACCTCTGGTGAATATCGAAGTACCTTGTATACTATATAAATCACTTGAATAGTGACTAGCACTTTGTTGTAAATGAAGATTAAAGACGTGTGGAAATTCACATCATGTCTGAGCGCTCTTGCACACACACGCACAGACGTCACGCAGTGACGTTTAGACCAACTTAAGGGATGAGCGTCATCCTTCTGCTCACCGGCTTTCTTCTGCATTCCCAATCCTCTGCCTACACCCCTCCTCCCTTTTATCCGTCTCCCTCCTTCCTCTCTATTGCTCTCTGCCCTCCTCCCCCTCTCCCTCCTGCACTGCTGAGGAGTGACGAAAGCAAACCAGCTGCTATTAATAGCGGGTCGGTGGGTGAGATGACGGCCAGTGACGATTTCCCTTGCAGCAAGTCTGTGCACCCCTGGCAGAAACCAAAACCACTCTGCAGCTGTGCGCTTTCAAATTTCGTTAATTTTAATGTTAATACAATAATATTAAATAAAGACAAGACTAATCTGAGATCTAAACACCTGGATAATTGTACCAGTACTAAGTTCAGAGCCCTAAACTTTTAAGGTTACTTAACAGTCTGTCTACTTTTATGTGACAGTGTAAAATTAAGGCATTACTCTGAGGGTAAATAGACAAACATAATTGGACGATGCACAATCGTTTTTTATGCGAGTGGTGTAAATGGACTTGTGTTACTTCTCATTGATTTTTTTATTTTTATTTTATTAATTTATTTTTTTTAGCTTGCCAGTGGATGTCAGTATCAAATGCACTTGGAGAGGGAAGAGGTTTAGAAAGATGATAATGATGATAGATGATGAGGGCTATGGACAGCAATGTATTAGATTAGTTGTTAATGTACAACTCCCTTTTCATGTTTCATAACTGCTTTCATGCTGCACTATTATAGTCTTCTCAAATGGTACACTAGCATACAATTACACACTCCGATGACCTGCTGGTGGGGCAGCTATTATAAACCCATTCTTTAATGTCTGGATATTGTTCCAAAATCCTAAACATATCAGGCTGAATTTGCAAATAACTAATTGAAATATGTCTGTTTAATAGAATAAACACTATCAAAACTTGAAGTCTTGGATATTTTATATAGTACAGACTTCATTATATATCACATTATATGCATTTGGCATGCATTTGCCCAAAGCAATTTACAGTAAGTGCATTATCATCATAGTTGCTTAAATGATGAGCTGGAAAAAACGGAGTCAGGGAAAATACTGGAACGGTCTGGCAGAGTGCTTAAAAATTATTTTTAGCCAACCGTGAACCTGTAGAAGTCGAGATTTTTGCCATTAGGGCTAAAGCGTGTAACTTGCATACTGATGTAGTGAATTTATTAGTAAATAATTGTTATTTTCCACCTATCAGTGATTACAGAGCAGCACGATGACTCATCCAGAGTTATTTTAGTATTGATGAGTGTAAGGCTATTATTCACTATCTCTTAGCTCGGTTTTGGTCTCTACTATCACACACTATCACACATTTTCTATCAGCAAGTTTCTTATTGTGTCTTTTTTATCCGGGTTGGTTGTGCAGAACAAGTGTTGAGGCTATTTAAGGTGAGAGAGAAAACCAGACACTGTGGCAACTAAAAATGTGTTCATCACGATTAAAAGGACCCTTTCATAGTGACACAGTTTCACTTTGATTTGACACATTGTTATTATAAATATATAGATATATTTTTTTTAGCAGCTGTCAAACTACTGATCTGGTAATCTTTACACTATCAGTGACTAATTGCTTAATGTAGTCATGTATTTAACAACGCAGAGTGAATACCAGAATCAAAAACTCCAGTGTCACTCTGCATTTGCTTAATGCACAAACACTTTTTACAACACATTTGCCATCTCCAACTTGCTAAAGTATTTTATCTGTCTATGCATTTGTTTTTCAATCAAGAGGGTCTTAAAAGCATTACAATCCCTGATTTCATCACATAGGAAATACTCTGATTTTGTTTATTTTTGTTTTGTTTTTTACCCACAAGAGCATCCAGGGGATAGAGCGGCTGAATGCAGTACCTGCATTCGAGCCATAAAAATACCAATAATGGCATTGAAGTGTGCCACGGAGAGGTGTGACCTCACTCGCAGACGCATGTCATATTTTTCGCCTCTCTGTCATCCTGAAAGGGCCACTCGCTCAAGGGAAAACAAGAATTCGAGAGAAAGAGTTGAGTGCTGTCAGCTGGTGGCAGACTGGGTTGTCATGGTAACTATAGGGTGAGGTCACCCGGTTGCTGCAGCACCAGCGTAGGGACTGATTATGCCACCTCCCATTTATCTATCTCTATCTGTCTGTCCCTCTGTTCTTCTGTTGCTTTTACTTGCCCTCTTTTTGGTCTCTTTTTCCCATTATTTCAGCTCTGCCCTGTTGGGTGGGTTGTGGGGTGGGGGTAGCAGGAGGGGAGGGGTGGAAAACTACACAGGGAGGGATAGACTGACAGATGAGAAGAAACGGACTAAGAGCCCAGCGACTGCTGGTACAAGCTTCTGACATCCACCCATCCACCCATCCATCCATCTGTCCAGTTATGAGGCACTGAGGACTGCTAACAACTACAAAGACTTCTGCCCTTAACACAGACACACACACAAACATAGACACGTCAGGCCTGACACTTGGGACTTGTAGTCTTGAGTGCAGAGCCGCACCATTTATCCTGCTCAGGCTCACCATTAGACCCCAGTAACACCTGGGATTAAGTTGACACTATCTGGATCTGATCACAGGCATTGCTACATCTGGGAGGTTAAGCTTTTAGCAGTGGCATCGTGGTGCAGTGGTTACTGCTGTTGCCTCAAAGCAAGAAGGTTCTGAGGCGTTTCCACGTGGAGTTTGCATGTTCTCTCTGCACCTGTGTGGGTACAACTTTCCGCCACAGTCAAAAGGCATGTATGTGTGTGCTTGAGGGTGCAGTTATACATATCACTATGACTGACTTGCAGCCTTTGCGGTGTTGACCCCACGTTTTTGCCCAGTGTGAGTGGGGATAGGCTTCCAGCTCCATCCAACCCTAAATTGGAGAAGTAATTAGGAAAATTGGGGAAAGCTTTACCTGGACAATTTTAACTGTGGTTTTAACTTGAAATGACGAATCAGGTTTCTGAAGAACAAGGTTAGGCTGTACGGACTTGTTTCACACGTGGTTGAGATCAGAATGCTGGCTGGATGTGACGTTGCAGTTTCCATTGCATTCTAACTAACTACACTCTGCACCAGCCTAATGTGAGACTTTAGGGCACTTTGTTTACCCCTCTGACTTTGAATAGCTGCTATGGAGAATTAAGGTGTAACTCTAAAATGTCAGAAACATGAAACCAGAAATTGCTAACAGGATGAAGTGAAGTCACATGGCAGAAAGAACCATGTTCTCAGTTAAGATGATATTCCTCATACTTAGAGCAGTATTAGTAACACGATCAAGCATGCAATGTTGCTTAAGCAGGATCAGTTCATTTTCAAATATATATTAAACGTAATTATTATTTCGAATAATGGGGTCAGTATATGTGAAAGTAACCCTTGTGAGTCATACTTTCAGGCTACAGACTCCTCTAAATGCTCTGTTTAAGACATGGGCTATCCTTAATATTGGCCAGGTCTCTCTTGAAAAATAGATTTTAATCTCAATGAGACTTTTTACCTGGATAAATAAAGGATAATGAAATATGGCCATGCAGGTTAAAAATCTAACTGTAAGAAGCCACACAGGCCTGCTGATCTACGATCTAATTATAAGGTGCAGCCATCAGAATAAAGTTGATTTAAAAGAAGGAAATGATGTGTTTAAATGGTGTTTTTCAAACACAGGATGAACTAATGTGCTCCATCAAGGCCCAATACAAGAGTAATGAGGGTATTTTAACTTTAAGTAACGCAGAGCTACTGCTCTAAGCTGGTCCCAGTTAAAGTCTGAGAGGGCTAAAGGTAGATACTGCCACTTGGACAGAGACAACCTGTAAATTATGTTTACCTGGTGTTGAGAAGGAAAAACCTGAAACAAATTGAAATAAAATACTGCTACTCATAATCAAGTAACACGGTTAATCTATTTTTAAAAAAGCTGTGACATAAGGGAAAGAGGCAAAAGAGGAAATGAGTTAAAACACACTTGATGCATCCTTATGCTTGCCAAGTCTTGACCTTTTGCACGATAGTGTCATCAGAGGGACTGAGTAAGAATGCTGTGTTAAATCCTGTGACAGCTGATTGAAAAGGTCTTTGCTTTGGGCAAAACCATTGTAGCCAACTTGACAGCATCATGGCTCATTACTACTGTAGATGTCATAATGCTCCTGCGGCCCATTCAGTCATCCAGACAGAAAGGACATTTCTCTAAGTCATGCACATGCTCATCTCTGTTGCCTCTAATCAAGTGTATGTTTATCACATAAAACAAGTTTGTTCAAGTACAAGTGTACCAATTTGCTATTATATTCATTATTTTTATTCTATTGGGGAATAGAAATAATTTATCAAAGGTTACCAAAAGGTGAGGATTTGTTTGTCCTTTATTTAATAATAATTACAGTTTATAACTTCTTTTCCAACTTGAGATTTGTCTGTCTGACAAAAATAATAATAATAAAATCAGTCACTAGGGTAAAGGTATTCTTCATTCTGAAGAATTATTTGTGTCTCTGTATTGCAGCCAGAAAATTTGCTCCTGGCCAGTAAGATGAAGGGAGCGGCGGTGAAGCTTGCAGATTTTGGCCTCGCTATTGAGGTTCAAGGGGAGCAGCAGGCGTGGTTTGGTAAGAAAGATCATTTATTAAACATAATCTGTAGCATTTCAAATGATGTGTTGTTGATGTTCATGTGGCATCATAAATTTGAGGTTTACATTTAAAACTGCAGCAAACAGGATAGGCTTAAAGTGATATACAGTGCTGTGCAAAAGTCTTAGGGCAGCCCTCATATCATCATATCATTTGCTGGGAAAATTGGAACTTATTGAAATGTGTAAACATACATGGAAATACAGTATTTAATGCCAAAACAAAGTTTACAAAATTCTAACAAACTTTGCATTACCACCCTTATTCTTCAACATAGTCTGAAATCTCTTACGCACGCTTCCTTGTAAGTTATTTACCTTTTTCAGTCCAGGCTTCTTGAAGGACATGCAAAGCCCTTCTTTAGCTGTTGGCTGCCATTTGTTCCATTCTCTCTGTCAAGATGATCTCACACTGTTTCGATAATTTTGGGAAGGCCAATCAATGACTCATAGCCTTCCACTGTCACTATTTGGGAATGCTTTAATGCAGCGGTCCCCAACCCCCGGGCCTCGGACCGGTACCGGTCCGTGAGTAGTTTGGTAGCGGGCCACGAGAGTTGAGGCTCAGGTGTGAAATGTATGGTTTTCAGGGTTTTTAGCAGTTTTTAGCGTTATTTTGTTATCGTTTTAATCGTTAACTCGATTTTCCTGGGTCTTTTCACGTGTGTTATGAATAAATCTTCTTTTTTTCGGTACCAGTACTAGTTTTATTTTGTTGTATTTATCCGCGACACCTTAAAGGCCGGTTCGTGAAAATATTGTCGGGTATAAACCGGTCCGTGGCGCAAAAAAGGTTGGAGACCGCTGCTTTAATGCAAAGAATGTACTGAAAATGAGTGAAAAAGAAGACAATCTCCAAAGAAGAACTTGGATAGCTATTGCTCAAGTCCACTTTGAAAAAAAAATACAAGAAAGATGGTCTTCTTGGAAGGAAAATATAAAGAAATTAGAAGAAGCTCAAGACTTATGCACAGTTCTGCTGGAGTAAGTAGCACAAAGAGATGAAGACTGTGAATGTTTAGATCATGTCAGCTCGTTAATTTGTTTAAAACACAGCGCTGGCACAAAGCACAGAAAGACGTATGAAACCTGTCATAATATAGTAGTAGTAGTAATCAGAAGTCACACTGTGTATTGTATGTAGGTATAACATGCTTGTATTTTTCTATATTTGCAGGTTTTGCAGGAACTCCGGGGTATCTGTCCCCAGAGGTGTTGAGAAAGGACCCATATGGCAAGCCAGTGGACATATGGGCATGTGGTCAGTCCTAAAGTTTTCAGACTGTAGGCACAGTCATTTCCTAGCAGACCCGTTTTCACCATTTTTGTTAGATATGGGTTCACTACAGCATTATCATGTCTTTCACAACTCATGTGACTTTGCAATCTTTAAGCAACAACTTCATGAAACGTTCCTGTAACAGTCTTTTCCCTGCAGTAAGTTTTAGTTAAATATTTGATTGAGAGTTATGCTATATTCGGCCAAAACACAACCAGCCAGATTCATAAACAGCAGCCCACATCATTTTAAGTGATAAATGCCCTTAACTCTGCTATAAGCCCAAATAAACATTTTTTTTTCTTTTTAACTGTGTATGTACAGTATTTTTTACATTTGTGTGTGTCAGGTGTGATCCTGTATATCTTGCTGGTGGGCTACCCTCCATTCTGGGATGAGGACCAACACAAACTCTACCAACAAATTAAGGCCGGTGCTTATGATGTAAGTACTCACATTCTTGTATTAACCACCCTCTCCTTTTGAACTGTATTGTCATATGTGCAGACAGTTATGATGCAGAATAATGATTGCACTGTGAAGAACTGAAGAAACAGAACTGAATTCCAGCATAGCATTGTCAGTGGATGGAGAATATCACTTTGACTGTGTTTATATTTTCTGTGTACTGCAGACACAGCCAGCTACACAAACGACACAAGACTTTGTAATGTTTACATTTCCTAGGGAGGGACAAATCCCTATGACTCTCTGTGTCTGCTTTGGATTGTTGGTGTCGTGTTTGCAGGATTCTGAGCCATCAGAGTTACATTTTTTAACCTTGATGGTGGCTAAACTTGAATATAGTTTGTAAATATATACTGAAATACTAGTTGTGTGAACACAAGTTAAGTTTTTAACTCCTCCCAGAGTGCAACATCAGGCTGGAGACGCAGCGTTTACAATTATGACATATTAGAGCTGATTTAAAACAAACAGATCCAGCATACACAGGACAATCTTGGCCTAAATATTGTATTTTATATAAGAGTCAACCGCTTGGTGAGTTAAACTGATATTCTCTCTATTAGGGCTTTTTCCATGCACGTCCATGCTTTTGCTATGCTAAACTATAGATAGATGCCTGAAAGTTTGTTAGTATAATTTTTCAAGTGACAGTTCCTTAGTAATCAGACCATAAAGCTTGTAAAACCTGTATTTAAATTATAAGTGAGTGTGTAAATAAGAGCCAGAGGCACTGTCAGCAGAGACAAACAAATAACGCTCACTAATAAAGGCTGTGCAAACAGACACACTGGGGGTGGAATTACCTGCAACCTGCATATGGTAAAAATTCGGTAGAATATGTATTTCTATAGCACTTTCTCATCAAACTTCAGATTACTTTGTTGCTAGATTCAGCAACTTTTTTTGGGATAAATAAAGTAGAAAAACATTGACAAATCTGTCGTTTACTGTTTCGTGATCTGGTCATTGTGTGAGAGAAAGGTACTTTTTTGCTTCTATATTTCTCTATAATTGATCATTTTACTCCTAAAAAAAGCTCCAATCATAGCACAGCATTATTATTATTATTATTATTATCAGGGTGTGTGGTAATTTTGTAGGATGATGCGGTTACAGGATCTGACCCAATCCACGTGCAAAATGATACTTGAAATCTGTTGAACCATAAAGCACATGTGCTACAGCAGCAGGAGACCACACTGGTTCCCACTCCTGTCAGCTGAGAACGAGGGACTGAAGCTGGAGCTGAAAAAGGCTCATCAACATTGCCCAATGGCTGATTGTAAAAGTGTGGCATGATGTGATGACTCTCAATTTGTGCTGCAACATTCTGATGGTAATGTTGGGATCTGGTGTAACAACATGAAAGTATGGAGCCTTTCTGCCTTGTATCGACTGTTCAGGCTGCTGATGAAAGTGTAATGAAATGGGGGAAGGGGTTAAATATACTTGGCACACTTTAGCCCACTTTAGTATCAGTTGAGCACAACCTTCCTGAGTATTGTTATCGACCATGTCCATCCCTCTATGACCGCAGTGTCTTCAAATGGCTGCTTCCAGTTGAAAAATGCACACAAAGATCATCTCAAACTGTTTTCCAACACGACAATAAGTTCATTGTACTCAGATGGCCTCCACAGATCTTAATCCAGTAGAGCATCTTTGGGATCATTCGTCATGGACGTGCAGCCAACAAATCTGCAGCAACTTTGAAACGAAATGTCACATCAGTATGGATCAAAATCTCTCAAACTGTTTCCAGCACCTTGTTGAATCTATGCCTTAAAGAATTAAGGCAGTTCTGAAAGCAAAAGGGGGTCTTTACTTTAAAACTACTGTTTAAGCATTTACATTTGATTCACAATATTACAAAAACCTTATTAACTAGAGCTTCAATAAGCGCGTTGGTCTTTAATGGAACACATAGTTTTGGGCGTATTCAGGGTTAGAGCAGGCATTTTGAATTATTTTTGTACCTGCATCTATAAAAATGAGAGTTAAGTTTCATGACATCTGTGAGGGAATTCGACCTGAATTCATGAAACTTTAATTGTCATACTCTGATCATCATTTCCTGTTTCCAAATAAATTCATGTGTATTCGTAACTACAAGGCCGGAGCATCGAGATGAGCTCTGCAGGACACCATCACTTCAAGTGTTGTCAAATAACATGCTCTAAATTCTGTCATGCAAGTAATTTAGAAATTTAATTTTAGTTTTTAATGGCTTGCTACTTGGCATTGTATAACTTTCATCTTGCAGCAGAAAAAATAACTGATACACTATGGGAGAGCAATGGGCTTATTCATCAGCTCTCGTCATTGTCCTCTGGGAGATAGGAATTTATTACCCATATTAATTTACATAATTGGAAGCAACCACATCTAATGAATGTGCATAATATGAACAATAATATGAAGTGACTGACGAGCGCTTATAATAATGTGCACTTCTTGGATATCATCACTGTCACGCAGATACCTTGAATTTCTGCTTTTTTCTTTCATCGGTAACTGACATCTGATATGTTTGAAGTAAAAGTCTGTTGAAAGCTTGCTTTGACTTTTAGCAGTAAACATGTCTGCTGACTCCACCCTTTTGTTATACCACTGAAATTGCCCATCAAAGACAGACAAATCGTTGCTCATCTTCACATATTAAGACTGTTCCAAAACAAATGAAGTCAAATATGTTTTAAAGAGAAACAAGCAAAATATACTTTTTTAAAATCACAAAAACAGTCACCTAAAGGTGTTGTATGTTGTTTATAAGGTAAAGACCCTGCAATGATATATACAGACATAAGAGGGAAATAACCGTTCCCCACAGGAGTGTGTACATGTATATCTTATTGGAAAGGTATGTGCCGTTTGTTGTTGCAGGGTACCTGCACAACACTTTTGTGTGCAATATTGTGTTTCCTGTCTATGTGCGTATGTTCTGGTGCTAACTGTTGGTTGTTTGTACATGTGTGCTGCTCCTTCAACTGTGTCCAAGACAAATTAATCCTCAGAGAGAAAACAAAGGCCAATTTAACCTAATCTGTTCATGGGGGTGTTGTGATAGTGTTTTAATATGACAAATTAAAGATACACAAATTACTCACATGCCGTGGATGTTATTATGAGGTAACATTGATCAGCTGCTCATAGCCTGTAAAAATTTATGGACACGATTGGTTAGCACAAACAAAGTTATATTTATTAATGGATAAGAGCTGTCTGTAAATCTGCGTTTAGAGTATTACTTTTCATTGCTACAACCTCGCTTATGACTTGTGTTTGTTCCTGGTCTTGAGAGGTGTGGATATTTGCCCTACAGAGTTCAAAGTTGCAAGTTGCACAACCTTAATTCACTCAACCTGCCTCTGTAAATATCTTTTGCTGGAAATTTCCCTACCCTCCTTTGAATGCATGCACAATGAGGAGAGAGCTGCACCTTCTAAATGATCCTACAGTTTGCAGCTCTAATCTGTTACATGTTGGGTAAATACAGGAGCAAACACTGTAAGAAATCTGGTTCAGTCATTTAAATATCAAAGTCAATTAAAAGAAAAGCTTTTACTACCATCTTTTTTGGATCATGTTTTTTTATTGCTCAGTTGTGCTGGAATGCCAGTGTTAAAATTTAAAATACGTGCTAAATATAGAAATGTCTAATCAATGCTAAACAACAGCAAGTTAATCATGGTTTGGAAACATCAGTTTTTGTTTTACCAGTTTTTCAGTGATAGTGATATGTTTCTTCCTCCTCTTCGCCTTCCTTCAGTTTCCGTCTCCTGAGTGGGACACAGTGACCCCTGAGGCCAAGAATTTGATCAATCAGATGTTAACGATTAACCCCGCCAAAAGAATCACTGCCGACCAGGCCCTCAAGCATCCCTGGGTCTGCGTAAGTCACACTTGTCTTTATCGTTGTTTTTTATGTAGTTTTTCTTGCCAGCTTTAAACAAATCATGTCACAGTTTTTCTTTCTTAAGCACTCTTACATCAGCACAGCCCAGGAACACCTGTCTTACATTGTATTTAATTTCTAACACAGCTATTCAGAATAACAGCACATCTTTAATCCAAATGGCTAGTTTTAAAAACATGCACAGAATTACATTATATACTAGAGCAGAATTTGTAGCTTTTTGTAGGTTGAGACATAAAAGTTTGGGTTTATTTGTCTCACATTTGGACAAGACACACATTTAAGGAAAAGACCTGTAAAGTCATAAGTCATAATTTTAACACCAATAACAATTTAACAGCATAAATGTAGTTTGTTATCAGATAAAGCAAAAGGACAATAATTTCCATTTTTATTGTTAAGGAGTTGAGTAAGGAGTCGCCTAGATAATGTAAGAGCCCCGTAGGCTTATCTTACAGCTCCCACTTCTAAAAGTTTTCATTTATAAGTCCCTGAAAAAGCAGGCTTTTTCATTCTGTTTGGTATCACAGAGGAGTTGGAATACACATGAGCCACTCCTGCCTGTTGATGAAAAGCTACTCAGGGGAGCATATCAGAGCTGTAGAGCATTAAAAAGAATTCATTGTTGCAGTTGTACACAATGCCATTATTGTCATAGCCTCAAAATGGTGATTAAATGTTTCTTACCAGAATGCACCTTTGGAGTCACGGTCCCTTTCTCTTGTATTTTAATGTTCATGGGTTTTTATCTTTTCAAAGACATCTTTTCAAAGGGTGGAGTGCTAAGTTACCAGCTAAGATCGGTTTGGCCTCAGTCACAGAGACCAGTCGCTAAGGAAAAGTGTGCATTTCCCTACTGATTGGCAAATGGTTGCTGGCAAAGAGGGTGCTTCATCAAAAACCTCCTTGTAATTGCTTTTTTCGCAGGTGGATTTTCAAAGTCACCAGTAGTTTGCGTGGAAGTTGCCGACTTGTACGCAAACACTCAACAACTGACTTGGTATTGAAACTTAAATTGCTACGCATACTGAAAATGGAGAACATTTGCCTTCAGAGTAAATGTTGTGCCTTACTGCTGAAACCATTATGTTTTAAAAGGTGCGGCTTTTACTTTGTTGGGAAACTGTCCCCATTTCCAGTTTCATTACAGAGTAGTTGGCAGGTGTTTGCAGACAAGCAGGCATCCTCTGCTGGGTGACCATGGAAATCTGCTAGTGACCAAAGCTATCACAAGGAGATTATTAGTGCAGCACCCTCTTTGTGACTCACTTTGCCACCGGTTTCTTTAAAAAGATAGCAAGCAGCCTCCCACAACCAACTGCCAACTGGTAATACACATTTTTATCTGATAACCGGTGGTTACCAGGTGGTAACTATGCGATAAGCGGTAAAATATTCCAAAAGCACAGATATAATTAAAAGGTCTTGTTCAGAATAGCACCGGTGAGGCCTAGCAGACAGTGACTGGGTACATCTGCCTGTGTAAGAATACCTGTCTGCCCAATATGGCAGCACCCCTAACTTTAGGTCTTACCAGTGTAAAAATGGACGAGTTATTAAAAAAGTGGCATTGATGGTGTAGCAGTGATATACTTAATGTTGCCCTTTCCTCTTTACTTAAAGCAACGATCCACTGTGGCCTCCATGATGCACCGTCAAGAGACTGTGGAATGTCTGCGCAAGTTCAATGCCAGAAGGAAGCTTAAAGTAAGCACGAACACAGTTAAACATACACATAACTCACTAGCGTATGCTTATAATCTTGTATATTATTTGCCTTGACTCTAGGGAGCTATCCTCACTACGATGCTCGTGTCCAGGAACTTTTCAGGTGAGCTTTTGTAGTTAGTTTAAAATTGTCAACACTCAGTAGGAGCGCACTTCTTTACAGATCCTATCTCTCATAGAAGCCAAGTGATACATGTCACTGTTGTTCTGCTACTGTATCTCCAGTCTACCGTCTTCTTCCCTTAGCCACACCGATTGGATTTGATTTTGCACTTCAGGGGTTTGGCTTGGATTTCATCCTCATAAGCAGTTTGATCACAGTGCACTTTTGATTGAACAACCTATTTGCGGGCTGGACAATGGACTAGCAAGCTAATGCACTAATGCTATCGGCCCTGTGTTTATATGCCTTCATGTAAGCAAAGCAGCTCCATTGGATTATGTCCATCCACTTTGTAAAGGCTAAGACCGATCCAGACTGAAATAAGCAGACCAGCCAGACCTCTGAAATGCTTTGTTCGTAAGCCTAGGCTTGTTTATTCACTGTAGAATAAACAAAGAAGTAAAATCAGTAAGTTGGGGCTCAGACATTTTATTTCTGATAAGATTTTCCCATCTGTTGCTTCACTTCATCCTAATAAAAATGGAGTTTGGTATTACATCATTTCATTGATTAAATTAAAATGTCAAAAACACTAAGCAGGTCTCTTGGAAGCACAAAAAGTTATTAAAGAAAAAAGAAGAAGGAGACTTTCATGGTTTAGTGGGGCTCTCTCCCAGTGGTGCACTGAATTCCTCTTTGTCTAATAGTGGGACGGCAGCACACCAGTCCTGCCGCTACCACCAGCACGGCCGCAATGGCTCAGGAAGGTACGTTTGCTAGAGGGGGTGTTGGAGTCGGGCACTGCCAGCTTCGTGCTGAGGTTTTTGGCATGTGGCCTGGGCTGCTTGAACCCTCCCCTCCCACCACCACCACAACCACCTGCTGCCTGCACACTGATGGATCACGTTTATGTGGTCATCACTGCACTGGGGCATCTTATAGTCACATACAAACATATAAATAAAAGCCACAGATGAAGCTCAGCTACTGACCTTTCAGTACTCCTGGGCTTCCTAATGGTCTAATAAACAGACCTCCTCTCAAGGACTGGATATTTAATTTCCTGTGTCGAACACAACAGCCATTTAAATGACACCCAGCATGACCCTCTGACCTTCCAACTACCCCAGCTGTCACCAAGCAAAGCTCAGGTTATATATCTTTGCATTAGCACAAATATCACAGGTTGTTTTTCTCTGCTGCATCGCCATTTATATTACCAATATGAACAGAAATTCCAGTATTTAACTTGGAACTCTTGCACCTTTGCCTTCTTCAAATTGATCTGGATCCACAGTACTGATGCCCAGTCGATGCCTGCCTGTGCTCGCTGCAACCTTCCCTTGGCATGGCTCTGGCGCCAACAGCCAGCCAAGCATGTTTATGAGCGTACAGTGCAGTTTGCCAACCTGCATGGGAAGCTGGATAAACAGAATGCAAAGTGTCCTGTGTTAACTATTTTCTTTGTCTCCTCTCTCCTGCCTGCTCTTGTTTTTGTTTGAGCAAATACAACTAAAAAGGGGAAAAAAACAGTTTGCTTCAAACAAAGTGCTTATGCCGTTATCAGGTCATCATTATGCAGATATATATTAACACAAACACAGTGATATCGCTTAGGGGGGTATCAGCACATGGATGGCTTTGGTTTGTGGTTTCACATTACTGATATTTTTTAACTAAGACAGATCACATTTGCAGCTAATGATTTTTCATTTAGTTAAAATCTCCCTTAACTCCCAATAAACCTTTACATTATTTAAGAGATTACATCTTGTTCTCCAGTGGCAAACCTTTAGCTCTACCTCCGAGGGTGATGATTCAGGACAGCTTTGTTTTCAGGCATGCTCAAACTAATTAGTTTGTTTGAAGCATACTGAACCTTTAACATGTGTGGGTCATATGACAGCGATGGCTGCTTGCTTAAAGAGGACTTATTAAGCTTTTCTTTCAGCTGTATATTTTTATTTTTGGAATTGATAGTTAAAAGTTCCTTAACCTTATACAGAGGACACTTAGTTCATCATTTGACTGAAGCTAGCAGCTTTAACACTGCTTTCCTCTGATTGGCTGCACCTCACAAACAGGAGTTTGAACAGCAGGTAGGCGTGGCTGCTGTATTCAAAAGTAGACATTACTGTAATATGAATTATCTACAATCTTTGAGATCATGCAAAACCAAATTTAAAACTGAGTGCTTAGAGCTCACTTGTACATTCGCTGATGATACAAGTGATGTGCCACGTTTCATAAGAACCCTTGCAACATTATGTAAGTAACAGAAAATAAGGAAAAGTGTAATGGGTCCCCTTTAAAGGCTGGTCATACAGGAAAAAACAGTCTGATTAACAAGAGGATGCTTTGCTGATAAAATGTTAATGACTTTCCCTTTTTTGCTCAATTCCAACTGTCAAATTTCTTCACTTAACAAGACGCAGTGTTGTCACGTACAGTGTTACAGTGAAGAAATCAGACTTGAATTTGTACAGATGACATCCTGAAGTTAAAGGTTTCTGCTGAGAATGCACCACTCAGCTTCTTTTATGGGGAAGACTTTGAAGTTGATGTTGCATGCCAGACATTTTGATGACTGCATGAACCATCACCTCTGTGAAAATGATTAAAGAATGCCTTTTAACACGCAGTAACAGCCTGACAGGTGTTGCCTGCAGTTGTCATCTTTCAGTTCAGATGTTAAGATGCAGATATTAAATACATTACTGTTCTCTTACCTTTTTCATTGCCATCCTTCCTTCTTTTTGAATGGAAGGTAAGGGTGAATCATTGGAACATGGCTCAAATACAAATGATTGTTGGTAAAAATGTTTATTTTTAGTCAGTGTTTGTGTGTTAATGCATGTGTTTTATTACATTTCCTTTTTGTCAGGTGGAGTGGTGTCATTTGTGTGTTGTTAAAACTGTCTGGTCAGGTTTTCAGGTTCACATACATGCCTCCTAACATAAACTACATTATAGGGATGAAGGTGGCGTTTGACGTGGCCAAAGCGATCTTATTAAATAAATTATCAGCAGTTCTGTAATTGACATTAAACATAAAAGTATATTTTCCTTATTTCAACAAAAACAAGGTAAAGATTAAAAAAAATATCTCTTTTACTCATTCATAAGCTTAGTCATGTATTAATTCTTATTTGCCCCCTGAAAGCAGACGAATAAAATCAAACACCAGAGCAGGATATATGAAATATTAGAAGTGTTATGAACTGAGCTGAAACTGATGTTATCATTGTGGAAAGTGAACAAAAAGTGTTTATTGTTTAACATTTTGACAGTTTAGAGGATTATTGGAGCCAAAATTATGGTTGAGCCAGAAATCCACACAGTACCATAAACAAATGAAACCAAATTTAAAATGAGCTTTAAAGCTCAGAAAATTAACATGTGGTTTTGCTAGGAACTCGTAATGCTGACCTGCTCTCACAGTCAGAATCACCTTTTTTGAATTTAATTGTTTCCCTGTATTAATTTTTTAATGATTTTACTGTTTTAGAATTTGGATTCTTCATGCAATAGTTGTGAATTTCTGACATTTAATTTTTTAACGAAATAATTTTTACAATCTTGGTGTAAAAACTGTAACAATGCAGTGGAAATAAAATGCGGAACTTGCACGTTACTGGGCAAAACAATCTGCATAGTCACTGTAGTGTACATTATAATGAAAAATAATTATGAATGGGGCTACGTCGATGTGTCTGTTTTTATACAATGATTTCAATTTTGTGTTTTTGATTTTCACGTTATCATTTTGCTTTGTCTGTATCATCACTACTGAAGTCTCTTTAATTCCCTGTTTATCCACAGTGGTTCATAAAGTAAACTTTTTGATGGGATCGTCCATCATACAACAGCTCTGCTGTTAGAAATATCAATGTGAAGTCAGTTTTGTCAAACCTGATAAACTCTTAGGCCGTCTTTTGTTGTGCTGACTGAGTGATTTCAGCTCTTCTGTTGATTGGACAGCTGTCCCCCTTAAACTGCGTCCTCATCATCTTTTCTCACTTTCTTTCAGCGTGTAAAACCTTACTAAACAAAAAGTCGGACGGTGTGAAGGTAAGCTCTCTGACCCATGAGGGTTTTCTTGATGGGACTTATGTACTTAACTTACTCTCCTTATCTTTTATCTCCTTTTTGGTCTGTCCCCCTAATTACTGTCTGAGACCATTTTTAACTGTGATATGATGGAACACGATCAATTAGATCACCTCTGTGCTCTGGTGCAACATGGTCTTTTTTCTAAAGTCTGTTTAATGTATTTTAAAGATTTTTGTGACTTAGGGGATAGGATTTATTTTAGAAATGAACTTATGTTCATAAGAAATCAGTTAACTCACATTGAGATTAAAGTAGATCTAACGAGCTTACCTAAAGATTAAAAAGCTTTTAAAATGGTGTTTTTAACCAGCCGTTTTTCTTTGACTCACAGCGATTTTTATTTTGATCAACAGTCAGCGTCAGTGCATGCAATGAACTGCCGTACTCACCAAGGGCAAAACAAAACTCCCATTACATACACTAACTTAAACAGTAACTAAACCCTTAAACATTAGAAAATGCACAACCAGTTATTGAACACCAATAAAATACATTTTTTTTAACCCCCCTTTTTATTTGCAGCTGATTCCAATTTTTCTGAATCCCTTTATCTCATCTTTATTCCTGTGTAAGCTTGTGCAGCTGTTTTGTTTTTTACTATCTTTCTGGGATCAATCTGGCAGCTTCACTTTTTTGTCTTTTTTTGATTAGTTCCCGATGAATCCTTATTTTTTTCCCTCCTCTTTTCCATTGCTGTCTGTCAGAAAAGGAAGTCCAGCTCAAGTGTTTGTTTGATGGTGAGATCGGCTCTGTCGTTTTTGTTCATTTTTTTTTTTATTTTTTACTTTTTTTTTGTCCGTCTTCTTTGCGAGTCTTTGCCCCTCCAGCTCTCCCTTTACCCTCTCTGTTTCATTTTTTTTCCTTTTGTGCAGAGATGCTTTAGGGGTCGTTTATGGCAATTTTTGTTGGATTTTTCCAAATTCATGCAACATCCCTGCATTCCCTTCCTCTGGAAGCGCCACCAAAACCATTTAAAGAAATAATACACACACACACGCGCTTCACTATCCAGTTACCCCCTTCTGATGTGCAACTCATTTACCCATGGATCTGCATTTTCGCTTCATACCTGACCATCACCGTGGGACAACTGAATCCCTGCTAATCTCAAGATGCCACCATTTTTCTTTTTTTCAGTTGTTGCATGTTTATCGTACCGTCATTATGTTTCATTTAAGTGAATTCTTCTTTCCCCTTTTTACCGTAAATAAAACAGCTGTCTTTGTCACCTGCAGATAATTTCTCCGATATGAGCTAGAGAAAGTCTGAGCTTCTAAATTCTGAATATAAAATAATCAAGTAAAAAGATTGTTTTCTTATTTTTCTGTTGATCTGTTTGGATGGTTACATTTTTCCCTCACTACATTTCTCTCAAAGTAAAAGTGATACAAAACTAGGTAATAGTGTACATTTATTAGTGGTAGGTTTGCATATCTGCGGAAAACATACCAAAATAATTGCCTTAGCTGCTTTAAATACAAAGTCCAGTTTATCCTCATCTCTCCCAAAAGACGTCACCCTTTCAAAAGAACAGAAAACTTTATTAAAAGAAAAGTACTACACAGTTTTGTTTATTTTTGTAGATGGAAACTGAGGTTCAAGATTTCAGGTTGCACTAAGAAATAACTCGGTTTGAGGCCTAATTAGCATTTTCAGACATTAATAACATGCTGTTCTGAATATTTTGATTCTGGTAAACAGCCTTTTTGAGGAGGCTTGGGGGGGAATAATCTTAAAAGGACCTCATGTTTGTGTTTCTGTGCTTTTCTATTCCAAATTCTGCTCAAGTTGTTTTAATAGCACTGAAGTGCTCAGATTCACCAAGTTAACAGATATGGGGTTTTTTTTAGAAAGAGGAACAAGGCTACATGTCGGCTCATGACCTTGATCAGTTAGGTCCAAACAAAGTGGCTCCACAATGCTGTCATGATTGCAAGTCATGTTATGGAAGTATATTTTTTTTATATTTGAACTTCTTGAAAGTTAAATGTTTCTTATTCATGAGAAATGTTTCTCCTCCAGCCCTGAAATGCAGTAAAAGATGTCAAATCTGTAATCTACCTTGTTGATGGTGTCAGCATTGCACATTAGTTATTCTGTTAGAAGTTGTTCCTAGTAGGCCTCAGAGACTGCCAAAAATACTGTTTAAAGTCACACTGGGGTAATTTGCTCTTCTGAGAGTTGCAGAAAAACAGCTAAAAACTCCCAGCACTTTGGCCTTAATCTTTCACTGACGTAATCCATTCGTCCACACCTCTCAACTTTCCTGTGGGAATATTTGTATTCCCCTTTCCCTCGAGTTAGCTCGAGGCCAAAAGGAGAGTCCAGCTGAAACAGTGTTCTCTTGTTCACATCATACATTCCAGCCTCAGTCTGCAGCTGTAACATAACCTATATCTTAGTCATCCAGCGGAAACATTACTACAGCTTTTAGGAGCAAGTGAGTGAAAAATTATGTTAACTCATAAGCAAGACAGAAATATCCAAACGTGTAGTCCTTATGGTTTTTAAGCTCTCTAAACACATAGATCCTACATTTTCCATAATGCAATCAACGCCATCTTTTTGTCATACCCTCTCTGCCTGCTGAATAATTTTTTACTGTACCTGGTTGTTTTGTTTTTTGTTTTGTTTTTGCTTACAAAAGCTAATTTTTGGCGAGTTTTGCAGAACGTTTCTTTATGGCTTGCACAAATCACCACAGTGAAGTAAGAAACACCTTGTAAATGTGTCTCCTACCTTGGATTGCACTTCATGACTTTAATTATATTAGTAGATTCTCCAAGAGTGCAGCCAATGTCATTTTAATTACATTTTGTACAATCTATATCATAGCTAAACAGAAATATGAATTCAGAACATATTTTTTCAAGTTAAACCTTCCTTCCTTCAGCTGTAAAAGTCTGATGTTGTATTATCGTCATCCTCCCAGGCGGGCAGGACCATAGAGACCAAAGTTTCTGAATGCAATAACTCCAGAATGGAAAAAACACAGCAGCTTAAATTCCCACAGTAGGTGTATTTACTAAAAAAAGTTGTGACCTCGACCTTAATGCCATGTAATAACTTGAGAACAAGGCAATGTATGATTTTCAAATTGATAAAACACGTGTATTCACTAGGAGGCTGAGGGGGTATCGTTGGCCGCTGTATTTTGTTTTCTTTAAAATTAAAATGTAAATGTTGCTGTGAGTATTTTTTTAAATTAGCAGCCAACATTTGAAAAAGGTTTAGACAGATTTCACTTTTTAAAACTCAAAGCCATAAATAGGATCTGTTCAAGATGATCCTTTAAGTAGTTTTGCGTGTAAAATAGGCTTTACTGTTATCTTTGCGTGAGCTAATGAAGGGGAAAAACGGCTTAAACCACATATCTGTTGCATGCGTTCACACAATAGAGAAAAACCTGCTACCCAAGGCCTTTCACTGCATGCACAGACCTGGACTGCTGAGCTCGCTTTAGATACAGACTGATTTCTCTTTCTATCTCAGCAAATGATTCACATTTTTTTAAGTGCTGGGGAAAAAAATAAGTCATTCACCCTTAATATATACTTATTGTTAAAATGCACTTTTCTGTTAACAATTCACAATTTTATTAAAGGCATAAAAAGATTTTGTTTTGGTTACTTTGTATCTATGAGTTCTTGATCATGAAAAGAAACGTTAAAACTACATGCAGAGCAGAAATACTGATGATTGCACCTGCCCTTTAAAATGCAAAGATAGGAAGGTGCAGTTATTAAGTTTAACATCTGCACATACAGCTCTTGCCCTGACTGTGCAGCGTATAGTCCGTGTAATGGCTCCATTCCTATATTCCACCTATGATTCCCATAGCTTGGTTCATGGTTTAGTGGGAGGAGTGGGAGTCACTTTGTGTTGTGTTTCTTTGCCCCAGTCGCAGGGAAACAACAGTAAAAACAGTGTAGTAAGCAGCAGCAGCACCAAAGACAGCAGCATGTCATCTTCAGCACCAATGGTACCTCATCTCTACTTGGTTTCTTTGCTTTTAATAGCATCATTTCATTGTTTCCCATCTTCTTATCGTTTAGTTCTATCCCCTCATAATCTTTTTGTCGCTTCCCATGTTAAGTAAAACCTTTTCCTAGTCCTCTGTCTCATCGATCATTGTCTGCCTCTCTGCTTCCGTTTCGAACACAAACTGTGATCTTGGCGGTGAATTTGATGACTTTAAAATTAAATGACTGGCTTGCCCCTTTGAGTTTGTCTCTCCTGGCTTGTGTTTTACCCATACCTCCGTGGACACACCTTCATATATTTACCCGGTGCCTGACAGGTAGACAAATGACTTTCATTTTCCAGTACAACAGCAGACACTTCAATCAAGTTCTGCTCAACCACATCCTCGTGACTCCTTTGTGTGTTCAACTATGTCACCAGAGCTTTGTTGATGCTTTGCCTTTGAAGTGGAGGTTATTGCCTCTACATCAAAAGATGACCTTTCACAAATTGCTCTTCAATTTCTGAATGGTAAATGATGGGGGCTTCTGGGTAAAACAGCAGCCTGAGTTGACAAATGAAAAACAAGCCATATTTTTTGCAAGAGGATGCAGCCCCTGTGTTTGTGGGATTGAGTCATTTATACAACATACAAGAGTTTGCACGATGTTTGTCTCAGGTTGGTTAAATGGAAACAATGGCAACATAGCACACGACAAAGAAATGTGCACTTAATGTGTACTTCATTTCTAATTAATACAAAAACTTTCTGTCTCCTGATAGTTTGATCTGGCTACTTGAATTAAAAAAAGAAAACCCTAAAATGATCAGAAATGGTCCATTGCATTAGTGGGAAATAAATAAATATCCTGCCTATCATGTCTTAAGCCTAGCATAAGACTGTAAACCAAAACATCTAAGTAACAAAATCTAGCACAAATAGGTGTTTTGAAGACTTAAGAATGTTTCCAGTAATTAACTTTCTCTATAAATTCAAAATGTCTTTTGATACTGTTTGTTTTCTTTAACAAGATATTTCCAGTCTTGATTGCTAGATTTTAGTCTCGTTGAATATAACATAGTAAAAAAAAGTTTTGGTATTTTATTGTTGTAATTTTGTCATGCTTGTCTGAATGTCAGTGGGATTACTTGTAAAAATAAAGATTACATTAAAACAAATAAGAACTTTTTGCTAAATTTAGTCCCAAATAATGTCAAAAAGAAGGATGAGGGAAGATAAACTTATCCTACCTTAGCTTGCCTTTTCTTGTCAGAGCCAGCCCTCACACAGAAGATAGCAACAGTCAAAATCCTCAGTTTAAAGCTTTATAAAAGGCTTCCATCATTTATATACAGTATACGACATTTACCACACAAACATAACAGCATCAGTATTTTTATTTTAATCTGCAAGAATGCATGCATTTTATATATATATATCTATATATTTGATTCTTATAGAGCCCAGACTGCCTTCCCAGCAACTGGACCAGTCCCCATAAGAGTTTACAACCTGGGACTGTCGTCTCGCTGCCGTTACTTGTAATACTTTAAATTCTGCATAATCCCATATGTCACTGAAGGGGCTGCATCTTCTAAAAGTTGGGTCCAGGGTTGGTGGAGATCATGCAAGTGCTCCTGACTGACTAAACCAGGATACCGTGGGTTTGTTTTCCAAACTGTCCAGTACTTGAGCTCTTGAATTGCTTTGTGCTAAATGTTTATGTCACAGGGTCAAGGCTGGGGATGAGGAGTTGTTGCACAAACACAATTCACCATTAAACCAGTCTTCAGCCCACATGGGATGGAGGGTTAAGATGTGAAAGATTATCTAGTAGTTATCCATTTACTAGCTTAGCTTTAAAGTCACTCTAGCTATGTGTAGGTTTTTTTTAATATGGTTTACAAATTGCAAACCCCTCCTCCTCAGTCACGGCCTTGGCTGGTGGTGGATATGTGTATAGCTGTGTTCATGGCTGTTTTCATCCATTTCGGAGGTTCTAAAACAGTCCTGTAGGCCACAGTGCTGGTGAATGGGGAAACAGACTGATACTGAGCGCCTTGACATCAACAATCATGGATTTTTATTACCATAAATGTTCCACAGCCTCTGCACTGTGCTTTGTTTTGGTGTGCCCTCATGCGTCTGTCGTCATGATATTCCCTGGCATCTTTTGCTGGTGCCCACCCCCTCCCTATCATATACTCCCTGCATGGTAAAGTGTCTCCTACCTCCCCCCAGGAAGCCCAGACAACTGTTGTACACAACCCAGCAGACGGCACCAAGGTAAGCTGCTTCTACTCCAGCCTCAAGCCACCAGCCACTACTACTAACACTCGTGGAGGATTTTCTCTAATATTTCTGCATACACCACCATTAAAATAATTATACACTTCATGTTTAAGGTGATAGTCTGCTTATGTAAGAACACAGGAATACAACCTTTGATATTTTCATAGTTTTTTTTTTTTAAATTACTTTCAATCTGCTTCCCTTTGAGATGGTTTAATTGATCCTCAGGTTTTTTCCCCTCAGAGGACCTGATATATACAGACTACAAACTTTTCATTGCCTTTTCCAAACTTGCAAATACTCATGGTACCCTACTACTACTCTTTATGTGAAAGAGAAAATCCTACACGCACTGTCTTTAAAAGCAGCACAAACAGACTCTTTATTAAAACAGGAACCAAGTGCACAGCTTTCACTGTTGTGTTGGTGCACACACGTTTGTTAAATATCAGTGTCACTACATATTCAAATGCTGATGGTGTTGCACTATTTCCTGTACACTGAAACTTTTCTCACGTTGCCACATGGGCATGTTTCCTCTCGAGAAGCAGTTCTGCACTAATCTTCTCTCACACACACCTTCCTGTTAAAAATTCATTTTAAACTGCTCCCACACGTTGCCGTAACGTGTGGCTCTCTGCGCTTCTCTTCCCTGCTGTTCTGGCTGGTTTGTGCTCCTGGGAGGGAGTCATGTACCCGTCCATCTGTCCATCAGGTTGTCTCTGTGTTTTTATAGGCGTCTAGAGCATCCCAAACCTGTCTCAGCTACAAATTAAAAGATGATTGTCCACCTCTCCCTTATCCAACTTTTTCCTCTTCCACCCACTCCTCCTCTCTCCATCCACCTCTCTTTTTGTCTCACCCCTTTGTGTTTGACAGGGCTCCACTGAGAGCTGTAATAACATAGAAGAGGAGGAGATGAAAGGTAGGAAAGGTACTTGTCCAACTTTCACCTACTCTGCATGCATTGGTTCACTTTGCATCCAATCCAGATCAGATAGATTAAAAAAAAAAGACAAAATATTTATTTCCTCGCTTTATGTTAAGGTGATGCATGTCCTCTAGGTAGAGCTTTCAGGAATCTGTCAACTCTGCTTTTCCACTACAAAGAGCTTCCGTCAGAGCACTTCAGGCTGGGATAGTCAGTACGTTTTGGAGTTGGAGGAGCATTGCAGGAAAGAAACGCTACGTCTGAACGCTGTGCTGTGCATGTTGACTGACTTAAACAGTACTGCTATGCCAGATAATATGCTTTTTCTGTTGTCTCGACTAATTCCTGTAGGAGGGCCTAATGGGTGAGCCTTGTCCTCAATGCTGCACTCACGCTAGGGAAAATGACCAAAAATATTACAAGCATGTGAACTTGTGATCTTGTTGGCGTTGAAATAGATGCTATAAGACGGGGACCAGGTGTGTGAACTTTAGTGTATCAGAACGGCAATGAAATGACAAAGGAGTCAGTCCTGATTGAATAATGTCAGGTTGACAATTAAATGCAGTCTGCTTGTGATGATATGGGAGTTAACTGTGAGAAATCGGCACAAATCCGTTGCTTCCTACACACAGAAATTCACATTAACTACTTATACTCAGAAGATTTCTCCATAAAGAGAGATGTATTGCTCCAGAACAGATATTTAACTGCAACCTTGCTTTTATAAAGCATTATAACCAGAATACAACCATTTGATTTGGGTCCTTGCTGTAAAAAGCCATGCAGCAGACGAGTTGTGGTCATTGATGACAATGTTTGTTTGTGAATCAGATGGAAATTATATACAAACATTTACTAATCTGTCCTGAGAAGGATTGCAGTCGAGTCAGAAGCATCCCACCAGGTGACCTGTGCAATCATACGGGTAATCAGTTGCCAAATAAAATTCAGTGCAATGAACCATCTTTTTTTTTTCTTCTTAGTTGCAAGGTTCATATTTTTACTTAAGTGACTGAGCTATAAGAAAGTTAAATATCAAAGCAGGATAAAGGTTTGCAGTCCTACCATTTTTTTGGGATAGATTGTTCTACAAACAACAAATGAAATGAACGTTTATTACTTCAAAGTAATTTTTTTGTCTTTACTGGAGGATTATCTGCAAATGTTTTGAAAGATGCTGTAATCACTTTAAAGTTCTGCCCGTTGTGACTTTTAATCACAGTTGTATTAGAAAGTGAAAGCCATGGCTTTGGTGAGCGGTACCTCATGGATCTGCGGCAGGGATTAGAAAGAATGACTGAGAGTAAACACTGCTGTGTGTAGAGAACAGGAGTATTCTGCTCTTACAGTAATTACATCATCATCTGAATAAGTCCAAACAAAGGATCCCTTGGTAATGACACCTCCAAAGCTTACTGTTGTGTGTTCCACGTGACGGTATCTTTGCCTCATTTCGATTGTTGTTTGTGTGAGTGTGTGTATGCTGCCATCAAACACCACTTAAGCCTTTAATTAAGCCATCTTCAGCCTCAGGGATGACCTTTTAAGGTTTCTCAGTTGAATGAAGTAGCACAGAGCTACCTGCAGCTTCCTAGAAAGGAGTTAATCCTGTTACTTAAGGCGACGTTCATGGATTTACTACCACTTGATCTTAAAAAGCATCATTACTAACATGCAATCAAGACGCCTTTGTTTATCGTGTCTCTATTGTCTTTCTCTGAGTTTGAATGCTTTTATAATTTGTTGGATGAAAGAATCTGCTTGATTAGTGTTAGCTCTTTTGTCTACTCTGGATGTTAAATCTTCAGGTTGTGCGCAGTGGTTTGCACCATCCCTTCACAGCAAGAACATTCTGGGGTTGAATCTCTGGGCTCTTGCTGTGTTTCCATCTGGTAATCCGGACAAAGACATGCATATTAAATTGGCTGGAGTTGTGAATAGAGTATAGATATAAATGCGTAGAATAAAGTGATGTGTGACTATCGTAAAATCGTATCGTAAAAGTGCTTCAAGTGAACAGTAAGAAAAGCTTGTGTCTAACACAAAACACAAGAAAACAGGAAAGGCCTTAAAGATAAAGAACAAATAAGATATATCAAGCAGATTGTGTTCAGATTTCCAATCTTCTGCAACACGATGAACTAAAACTCTTCACTTTAAACTTCGTTGTGCTGCAGTCTCCTAAAACCAACTGTAATTAAACCGTTGCTGCAGAATCTTATGCCATTTTGTCCTGGACTTGTATTTGCTGCACATTTGAGGCCAGTAATGAATTCAGTTGTTGAAGGTTGTGTTGTGTGTGATCTTTCTCATTTCAAACTTAATCTCTGAAATTAGACATCAGGCTGCTGTGTCTTAATGCTGAAAGCGCGCTCACTTCAGAGCACAAGTGTAGCGCGCGTGTCATGTCCAGCTTGTGTTTCTTTGTAGTTTCTGGTTTGTGCAGCTGGTTTCTATGTTGCAGATCAGCTCTTTGTGTCACTCTTTTTATCTTGCGTTGTGTGATAATACGCGCAGCAATAGCTTGTAGTGCCAAAACATTTAGCCAGCTTATAGAGACGTCATTTTGCAGTATAGCATTCAATAAACTTGATGATTTGCTGATTTCCTTTGGTTTACGTGAGGCTTAAAATTGCATACCTTTCAAAGATGTGATTGACACTGGCATCCAGTGAGTTTAAGGTGGATTAATGGATGGACAAATGATGAGTTCCTCTCAGATTTTAGGAACATCCTGTGGCCAGCCAATCAGCATGTTTCTGTATGTTTGTTTGTATGTGTGTCCTGTGATGAGAGCAGCGGCCACCAGTGACTCTACCAGTACAGAAAGTGCAGGGTTAACACAGTCCAGCACTATTGAGGAGCAGGCGCAGACCCCGTCTCCTCAGTGCCCACCACTCACCTGTAAGTCAGCTGCAGTTCACCCGATTTGCCTCTCAGCTCTGACCTTTCTGGCCTTTTCCTGTCGCACCAGACAACAATATTCCAAGACCAAAATAAAACAAGCAACACAAGACATTATGGTGGTAAAACAGCGACACATGAATAGGAATTTTAGCTCTTCGAGCCATCACCGGCGCTTGTACCATTTCCAGCCCTACTGTGCTGCCATCTACTGGCGCTCTAATATAACTGCAGTTTACTGCTTCCCTTCTGCACTATATCTGTATCCAACTTCTTCAACCCACTATTTCATATATTGCAAAGTCATGTATATAACCTTATTTTACCGGGATGACTGTATCTACCTGCAGCTGCTCCCCTGCAGGAGGCTGTTAGCAGCCCCAGTGTTCCTGTAGCTCAGCCCAGCCCAGCTCAGAGCTCGTGTCCTGCACCAGAGTTCACTCTTTCACCCCCCACAGGCAGCAGCAACCTGCAGCAGAGTAAGTGACAGGCAGGTTTTGGTGTGTTTGTGCAAAGGCTCCGAAAGCCTTTTGTTCAAACTGTGCGTCATTTGTTGACAGAAGACTTTATGGACATGCAGGTCTGAGTTTTGCTGGACGTTCTGGCTTAGCTGCTGCATGTTAGCTGATGTCATTTACAACATGAGAATCCATAAAGTCTGGTGTGTGAAAATCTCTGCTGGTTACGCTGTGAGTGCGTACATGGAGTTAGTGGCTTTTTGATCAACTCTGCTACAGATTCAGTTTAATAACTGGTGTTTTTGACGATGATTAACCTTCTCCTGCAGTATTTTTTGGTGCTCTCAAATTCAAAAACTGTAGTAAATGATCGGTTTTGTTTGTGAAATATTTTTGGAATTCCTTCAGTCAAGAGAAGTAAGCTTACATGTTTGTTTTAGAGATTTCAGGGTTCAGTGGCCTGTTGAACATTGCATACAGCTTCAAATACTTTTGATTCTGTGTTCAGTATTGAAGTGTGTGATGTGTTTGGGTGACCTTAAATGTCACTGTCATTTATACCAGAGGCGGTGTTCCCGTGTGTAGAGCTTATTTCAAATGTCAGGCAGTAAGTTGAGGGAAAGCATGCGGTGTGGGATGTGCATGTTCAGCCTCCAAATGATCCCTGACAATCTGTGACCTCTTGTGTGCCCGCCCTCCTCTTCCCACCTCCTCCTCCTCTCTCTGCTTGCAGCTCGTAAACAGGAGATAATAAAGATGACTGAACAGCTGATTGAAGCCATCAACAATGGCGATTTTGAGGCTTACACGTAAGTTTATATATAGAAATCAATAGAATTTTGTGTGTCATCAGTGTTCAAGTGCTCTTACAGCTCTGTGCTAACGTTTTGAGCTAGTACCACTAATTGAACAATAGTTCTCCAGGCTGTCTCGAGGTCTTTCAAAGCTTAGATGCTGTTTACAGTCCAGTATGTGACCATCTTGAAAGGAATGTTTTTTTTTGTTTTTTGTTTTTTGTTTTTTGGGGGGGGAGTTCCTTGCTGTATTAAGCCACTTAACACTCACTTGTGAATCATTCACATATGAAGTGTCTACACAGACAACTTAGCAGAGAACCAAATGAAAACTTGTGTTAGTTACACAAGAATAAAAAAAGAGCTATTAGCTGCAAATGTGTTGCATCTCAGAAGGGTGTGCAGTGTGTCCATAAAAGATTGATGAGTGTTGGACAAAAACAAGAAGTGGCAAACTTAAAAATGTATCTACAAGAGATGAACAGTATTTGAAAGACCTGACACAGAACCTGAGAGATGCCTCATCTGTAATGGTTTAAATGAAAGGATGGCTGTAAGAAGCCATTCTTACCTTAGAGAAATTGGAAGAAAAGGCTGCTGAATGCCAAATTTCACAAGAACTGGGCTAAAAGTCAGTGCCAACAGCTTTTATGGCATTATGAATCCAAATTTGATATTTTTGGTTCAACTTGTCATCAGAATGAATGGAGGTAGTTAGGAAAGAGGTTCAATAGTGAGGCCATCAGAGTCTGATCTACCATGTATTACCATCGGGAAAGTATCTGATTGGCAACAGCTTCATTTGCACTGTCAGTGCAGTAAAAGCATACCTGAATAGAAAACACACTATGGAGCACTATCAGCCATGGATTGGCCTCCCCAGAGCCTGGACCTCAACATAACTGAAGCAGTTTGGGATCACCTTGACAGAGAAAGGTACAAAAGGCAGCCAACATCCAAAGAGCCCTAAATTTCCTTCAAGATGCCTGGAGTACTATTCCAGGAGAAATTGCAAGAAAGCTTGCATAAAAGTTCAGGCTATGTTAAAGAGTAAAGGTGGTCATACCAAATATTGACTTTAGGTTGTTCAAGCTTATACAAACTCTGTTTCTGCCTTATACGCTGCATTTATGTACATGTTTAAACATGTAAAAGATTGAGCTCATTTTCCTAGCAAGAATTGAGAGACAGCTCAGGACTTTTTCACAGTGCTGTAGATTACTATGAATTTCTCCTTTTATTTTTTGGTCAAATTTGCAGATTTTGCTCTTTGTCATTGTTTACATGAGGATTCTCTTGATTGCTTTTTCCTCACAGGAGAATCTGTGATCCAGGACTAACTTCTTTTGAACCGGAGGCCCTCGGAAACTTGGTCGAGGGAATGGACTTTCACAAGTTCTACTTTGAGAATCGTAAGTTACTCGATTTAGTGGATTTTTCCTTCAGTTCTTGAGCCCTTTGAATCCACAGGGGCAATATAGTTGGCATTTGCTAACAAGAGTTTAGCCTACAGTGATATGTTCATTTACTAAAGTTTTCATTTAATGGTCAAATGTAACCAAACATGTTGGATCTCTCTACCCTCTAATTTAAGACTGCAATTAATTTTTAAAGATGTAGAATCTGCAAGCTTTTCTTCCTCTTTTTCTCTTTTCTTTTAATTAATAACAACATTTTTTGTCCAATTTACAATCTAAAATCTAGCAGATCATCAGTGTTTTGAAGTGGTGAATCCAATTAATTAAAGAAAATATTAAATTAATAAAAATATATGGAATAAATGCAGCTGGGACATTAAAGCCATAAACACTACAATGTGCCGATTCTACCTTTACAAATTAAGTTAGTGCATTTTGCATTTTTCCGTCATAGTTCTGAGTAAAAACAGCAAACCGGTGCACACCACCATCCTCAACCCCCATGTCCATCTGATCGGCGAGGATGCCGCCTGCATCGCCTACATTCGTCTGACGCAGTACATCGACGGTCAGGGACGGCCGCGTTCCTGCCAGTCTGAGGAGACTCGTGTGTGGCATCGCCGTGACGCCAAATGGCTCAATGTGCACTTCCACTGCTCAGGGGCACCAGCTGCACCCCTGCAGTGAACTGAGAACTCAGGCCCAGGTAAGGTGATGCCACCACCTCAATACAACAGCCTGAAAGGTGCAATAGCAGTTCGATGCCGCATAAAAGCATTAATGTGGACTGCAAAATGTCTTCGCACAGGTTATTGGGTTCTTTAATGATTGTTGGTGTGCAGCATCAATTTAAATTGCAATTTTTAATACTTAGAGCACTGAAATCTTTTTGTCCATCTCCCATCTACATTATCACACACTTTAGCATTCAACTTTCATTCAAACTACTTTATTTCTGTCACTAGGCAACTTCTACAACTGATACTCCATTATTTTTGTTTTTGTGTATAATATTTCAACAGCATCGGCTAAAGCTAGATCACCTAAAACTCTAGTGGCACATTAGAGAAACAGCCCTCTGTGACAGTTTAATGATATCCATCAGAGTTTAAAGGTACTCATTGTAATCAGAGATATTAAGAGTTGTTGAGTAAACTGAGTGTTATTAGGCAAAGAGCTGAGTCGCATACAATATGAAGCATGTTGTCCATCAATATAATAATAATGATAATACTTTATTGCTCCCTGTGGGGAAATTCCTCTCTGCATTTAACCCATTCACTCAGGGAAGCCGTGGGCAGTCAGTGTACGGAGACCCGGGGAGCAGTGTACCTTGCTC